CGGAGGCTAAGGTAGGAAGACATAAGTTTGAAGCCAGCTGGGCAACCAAGTGAGACCTCAACATAAAAATTTAAAAAGATTGGCAGTGTAGCTCAGTAGTAGAGCAAGTATGTGCAAGGCCCTCCATTCAATCTTCAGTACTGAAAAAAAATTTTTTTTTTTTTTTTAGAAAATGTTATTTTCCATGTTAGGTAAACACTTTAACACTGAGTTACATCACTAACACCAAAATTTGGTAATATTTTTTAGTCACTTGCCTTCCAAGAATGTTATTAATTATATCCCAACTAATAGCAAATGAAAGTGCCAGTTTATTCATAAACTATTTAACTATTGGCTTTCTCAATCATCTTAGAGGTTGCTAATTTGATAGGCACAAAAAATTAACCATTTAAAATTCTTAATGACCAGTAGTTAATACTGAACATCTTTCATGTGCATATTGGTCATTTGTATTTCTTCTATAATTTATTTGTACTATTTGCCTGCCTCCTTTTTTTTGACAAGATCTTGCTTTGTACTTCATGCTGGCCTTGAACTTTGGAAAGCCCAGGCTGGCCTGAAACTCTCACTGATCCTCTTGCCTCAGCCTCCTAAGTGCTGGTATTACAGGCTTGCACCACCAAGCCTGGATCCTTTGCCCATCTTTTTATTAAGTCTAATAAAGTTATTTTTAAATTTTATATTGTTAATAAACCTAGGGCCTTATACATACTAGGTAAGCACTCTACCCTAAGCTATCTTCCTTGCCCTCTAAGTATGTACTATACTGTATCTTTATCATTTCTTCTGCTCTTCTCCTCCCCTTCAACTTCCCTCCTCTCTCTTTTTTTTTTTTTTTTTTTTTTTTGTCCTCTTCTTTTTTTAGCGGTACCGGGGGTCGAACTCATTACCACACACTTGGAAGGCAGGTGCTTATGCCGCTGAGCTAAACCCCCAGCCCCGTTCCCTCTTCTCTTTTTCTCTCTTTGTTTCAAACAGCCTCATTAAATTGCCCAGACTGGCCTCAAATTTATGATCTTTCTGCCTCAGTAGCTGGGATTACAGGTCATGTGAACACTATCACTCATGAACTTTTTGAATGTTGGGAAAGTTAATCTGCTATATGTGCTTATCCTCTGTTTATATTTTTCTTTCCTTCTCTTTCTCTTTTCGTTCTTTTATGCAGGTGTTTGTTTATTTAACCATACAGAAGTTTTAACTTTTAAGCCAACATAGTGTGCTATACCTGTAATCCCAGCTAATTTAGACATCGAGGTAGGTAGTTATAAGTTTGAAGCTAGCCTGAACAACTTATGATACTGTCTCAGAATTTAAAACAAAGTAAGTTCATTGTGGGGGACTGGAAATGTAGCTCAGTTCTTCCTGGCTTCAATCCCTAGTACTACACACACACATACACAGATATGTTCAATGATAATAAAATGAAAAATGGAAGGCTTTGGCATGTAGCTCAGTGCGAGGTCCACCGTTCATTTTCCAGTTCTATAAAAACAGTACAGTAAAATAAAGCACTGTGCTATACTACTCAGCTCTACCCAACCCATCCTAAGTTTTAATATAATAGCATTTTTCATCTTTTTTGGCTCCTAGTTTGCTGTTATGCTTTAGAAAGGCCTTTATCTTCAGAGAACATATAAGTGCTCATGTTTTCTTGTATGATCCAGTTGTTTTTTTTTAAATTCTTAGATCCAAGTTGAATTCACTTTGGTGTAAGAAGTAATTTCTCAGCTAGGGATTTAGCTCAGTGGCCTAAGTTCCTTCCTGGCAAACACTCAAGGTTGTGAGTTTGAAAAAAAAAGAAGTAACTTCTCCATTAGCATTATTTATTGACAAATCTTTTCCCAGTTTACTTGAAATGCTATCACACAGTAAATTTCCAGGTATATTAGAGTCTACTTGGGACACACTTTTCTATTCACTATACCAGTGGCACACTTTATTCTGTGTTCTGTCTGTTGGAATGGGACAAGAAAGCAAGCAGGGGATGAGAGAGATTCTCCCAATTTGTCATTGTCTTTTTTTCAGCATTTTCTTGGCTATTCTTTTTTTTACCGGTACCAGGGATCAAACACGACCATGCGCTTACAAGGCAGGTGCTTATGCCACTGAGCTAAATCTCCAGCCCCATTGGCTATTCTTTCTAACCTTCCCAATGAACTTTGGAGTCATTTGTACATATGCACACACATGGAAAGTGTTTGTCTTCCATAATAATGTGGAAGAAAGTCAGCAAGAGGCTGACCTTTACATGGGCCCATGAGAGCCTTCAGTCCTTCCCTTCCCACTCACGGACAAGGGCTGAGAGGGCTTGCAGAACCACAGCAGGAGGTCTTTGAGGATCTGTGAAGCTGAGGCTGAGGAGGCTGTCTGAGACTCAGAGCTCTGTGTTAACATATGGCATTGTATCTTTTCTTTCTCCCCTAGGGTATGAGGGACAGAATTTGGCAAAGATTCTCAAGGATTTAGAGATGAGTAAGGTGGTACATATAGATCGATGGTCCGTGGAAGTGATACCCCAACAAAGTGAAGAAAAGAGTGATCCAGTTCCCTTTCAAATCATCAATAATTACTTCTCCATCGGTGTGGTCAGTGAACACAGCAGGAAGGGAGGGAGTAGGGGTTAAGCATAGCCTGGAAAAGGACAGAAAGGGAACAGAGGGCCAGGGTTTTAGCTCAGCCACGTAAATGTTTGCAGTGTTTGCTTGGCAAACATTAGGTCGTGAGTTTGAGCCCCAGCACAAAAAAAAAAAAAAAGAAAGAAAGAAAAGAAAAGGAAGAGAGAGGATAAGAGAGCAGTGGGGTGGGGAAATGGAGAGTTGTACCATGGTGTGAGTTGCAAAAAAGAACCTGAGACATGCTGCATCCAGACGGGTGGGGCAAGGGGGACAGTGCTCTGTATAGGGAGAGGCCGGGCCTCTGATACCACATGCCCTTAATTCTCTAGGATGCTTCTATTGCACACCGATTCCACATCATGCGAGAGAAATATCCTGAGAAATTCAACAGCAGGTGAGGGAAAGAGAGGGTATGGGCATACACAGTGTCAGGGACCAGGTTTGTATTCAAGGCTGACTTGGAATGCTTAGACTTGGCAGTGACATCTTGAGGAAACCCCTAACTATAGCACCTTTATTCTCCTTGGGGTTGGGACATTGATATCACTTATGCTGCCCATCAGCACTGTGTGATGTGTCCCCTCCCTACTGGGCCCTGCCTTGGGGGCTAACAGAATGAAGAACAAGCTCTGGTACTTTGAATTTGCCACATCTGAATCCATCTTCTCAACATGCAAAAAGCTGGAAGAGTCATTGACAGTTGAGGTGCGTGTGATGAGACCCAACCCTACATCCTTTGCAGTTTCTTGTATCTAAATTACTCCCTTTACAGACATCTTTGGGAACTTTCCATGTTTCTGAGCCAGGATTTCTTTGATTTACCAGCTATCCAGCCCCGACTTTCTAAGTTCTCAAGATACACTAGTCCCTTTTTCCTTCCTTTTCTTCCAACCTCCAAATGCTGGCCTTCCCAGTTTTGTCACCTGATAGAGGGATCAGTCACATCCATGATTATGCCATGAGGTGAGAATCTGTGCTCTCCCCAACTGGGCCTGTGCCCCCATCCCCTCAGATCTGTGGGAAACCGCTGGATCTGAGTAACCTGTCCCTAGAAGGCATCGCAGTGCTGAACATCCCTAGCATGCATGGTGGCTCCAACCTCTGGGGTGATGCCAAAAGGCCCCATGGGGATACCTGTGGGATCAACCAGGCCTTAGGCTCTACAGCTAAAGTCATCACTGACCCTGACATCCTGAAAACTTGTGTGCCAGGTGAGAGGATGGGCAGGACTAAGGGAAAAGTGTGGCTCCCTCTAGGAGAACCCTGCTTCTGCAAAATCTATATTCCTACTTCTCTCCCCAGACCTAAGTGACAAACGCCTGGAAGTAGTAGGGCTGGAAGGTGCAATTGAGATGGGCCAGATCTATACCAGGCTCAAGAGTGCTGGACGTCGACTGGCCAAGTGCTCCGAGATCACCATCCAGTAAGGACAACTGTAACCCAGGGTGCTGTGAGAAAGCCCGGAAGCGCAGAGGGTCATGGGAATAGTGAAGCAGGGCTTTATTGGGAGATCTTCCTGAGTGACAAAGGGCCTCAAAACCACACTGAGCTGGGCATGGTGGCACATGCCTTTAATCCAAGCCCTGGGGAAGGTGAGGGAGAGAATCACCACAGGTTCAAGGCCAGCCTGAACTACATAGTGAGAGCCTGTCTCAAACAAAAACTTGAGAAGCAGAGTTCTGGTATTCAACTGGTAAGGAAATCTTCAGCAATCTTCCTTGCCTTCCCATAGCACCACAAAAACCCTTCCCATGCAAATTGATGGGGAACCGTGGATGCAGTCACCCTGTACAGTGAGTATCACCTATGCCTGCTAAAAGCTAAACTCTTAGGTTCTATGGATCCTAACTAATACCTACAGTTTCTTGACTCCCTAACTAATAACCCCCAGAAGCCCCCAAATCCCCTGATGTCCCAGCCCTAGGTACTGGGTTCTGCCTCTAAATGTGTTCCCTTCCCTTCCAGATTAAGATCACCCACAAGAACCAGATGCCCATGCTCATGGGCCCACCCCCTCGCTCTTCCAATTTCTTTGGTTTCTTGGGCTGAGAAAGACATCCTCAGCTTGCAAGCCAGCCTTGAACTCACCTGCCCATCCCTGGACTGCACTCCCTAGGCTCTGTACGTTGCTGCCACACCTTCCTGCCAGCTCAAGGGAGTGTTCCTACATCCTCACAGTATTTATTATCCTGCACCATCTCCCTGCTCCCCATGTACACATGCACATACACACACCACACACACATATGTTCAAAGTGCCTCATCTAAATAAAAATGATTTTTTTCCCTTGGAATATCTTTTAGTAAGTGATACCCCTCTCTTCTTTCAGACTTTCACTCCTTAGAAGACATAGATTCAAGAAGCAAGAATAAAAAAAGCAGTCCCAGGTTCTGAGCGTTTATTTCAGGTAATGGTAGTCTCCAAGGGAAGATGGCAGAAAACAGGCATCACTGCCAACCCTAGGAAATCACAGCATTGTATGAGATACTCAGACCTGTTGCCCACTGAGAAGTGGGCTGTTCTCTCCAGTGGGGCAAGCACGGAAAACCTGGGGCAGCCGCAGCCAGGAGGTGCTACAATGTGGCAGCTGGGAAGTGGAGAGGGCTGAACCCTGCTTCATCAGTCTGCGCCTGATATTGAGAGAAGAGGGAATCTGGTTAGCAGTGGACAGAAGGAGCCCATCTGCGCTTCTCCAAAAGGATACACCCATATCCTGGGCCTGTTAGGCCTTGATACTAGCCCCCTCATCACCTCAAGGGATCCCCTGGTCTTATTCCTTTAGTGACCTCTGTTTATTCCCTATTCCTGTATAAGCTTCCCTGCTTTGAGACCTTTAGCAGCCTTCTTACAGATGTAGCACTCAGCTCACCCTGATTGTACCACTCTTACTATTGACAAGTTACCAGCAGCATCAACCTTCACACCAGCTGGATTACCTATGCTGTTTCTAACATCTTAGAAATGGCAGGTGTGGGCTGGGGATTTAGCTCAGCGGCATAAGCACCTGCCTTGGAAGCAGGCCGTCATGAGTTTGATCCCTGGTACCGATAAAAAAAAAAAAGAAAGAAAGAAATGGCAGGTGTTCACTGTCCCAACTCACATAGCTCAGAAAGTTTAAGCTACTTCCCCGAGGTCCCACAAGACTTTAGCCCAAGCCTAACTTCCAGTGCTGGGCTCTTTCCTGGTGTTCTGCTTCCTTGGAAAGAGTGGTACTTTTCTGTCTCCTGAGCTAGCCTGAGTGGTGGCAAAAGGGATTGGAAATCTGCATTGGATAGTGAGGTTTTCACCTGTATATCAGAGATGCAAGCACCATCGCCACCAACACCAGCAAGGTGCCCACAAGCAGGGGAGCCTGACCAAGGCCTGCTTCTTGACCTGTGAGTAGAAGCCCAGACATTGTTTTACCTTCTGCTCCTTTCTGCCAGCTTTGTATCCCACCTCTTATCTAGTTACTTACCAGACACAACAAGCTGAGTGCTGGTCATTGCCAGGCTGTTGGCATCAGCCAAAGATATATTGAGGCAATAGGTCCCTGAGCCACCCTTTAGTTCTTGGTGCAGAACCAGCTGACAGGCTGGGCTTGGTGGCACAGGCTGGCACAGCCGCTCGGTAGGGGGCTGGCACCCAGGTGATGAAATATCCATACAGGCTTCCTCGGGCAGCCTGGAAGAGATACCAGCTTTCAGCAGGGGATGCAGGAAAGGGCATGGTCACCCCAAAGGTTATTATGGCATCCAGAAGGACACTCACCCGCCTTGGCAGGACACAGTCAGCTCAAATGCATTGCCCTTACTGGATGGCACAGCCTGCAAGATCTCTGCATTCTCAATACCCTCTGCAGAATTGCAAGATTGTCAGTCAGGCTTCTTCCACCTGGCTAGTAGACAAGAAAGTCCTAGGGCTGCTCCCCAGTCCCATTTCTGTCCCTTCAAAGGGAGGATCCTGTCATTTGGTCATTCCTTTTGTCCAGCACATGTCTCCCTTTATCAGCCTCCAAAGTAGCCAGTACTTACGGATAATGTCCAGGGTGAGAGAAAAGGAACCGTATCGATACAAAACACAATCCAGTGGAACTTGTCTCTTCACCAGTGTTAAGGTGTCTGTACCATTCAGCAAGGGGCTCACAGACTCTGGCAGGAGGGAATTGAAGACAGGACAAGTGACAGACAAATCACTTGGAGGAAGAGGGTAAGCAGACATTTTCTCACATAGAGCCAGAGCTACTGGATTCTGGAGTTAACCCCCTTAAGTCAGGCAAGATCTGAAAAATCTTGCTTTATAGATACGGAAATGGAGGCCAGAAGGGAAAAATTGTTGCTTTAGAAGAATCACACAATTTGGGGCAGAGGTTGTGTGTATGTGTCTTTTTGAGACAGGGTCTCACTGTACAGTTGAGGCTGGTCTTGAGCTCACTTTGTAGCCCAGGCTGGTCTCAAACTTGCAGAGACTCTCCTGCCTCAACTGAGATCCCAAGAGCATGCACTACCACACCTGGTTCTTGTTTTGTTTTTTTGAGGAGGGAGTGCTTTTTGTGGTATTGTGGATTGAACCCAGGGCCTTTATACTGAGTACAACCCCAGCACTTTTTTTTTTTTTTTGACACAGGGTCTCACTATGTAGTTTAGGCTGCCTCAAACTCATGGCAATCCTCCTGAGTCTTCCGAGTGCTGTGATTACAGGTGTGCACCACCATGCCCAGGCCCACAACCCTTTTTATTTATTTATTTATTTATTGTACCAGGGATTGAACTCACAATCTTGTGCTTGCCAGACAGGTGCTTATGCCACTGAGCTAAACCTCCGACAGCCACAGCCCTTTTTAAAGTTTTTACTTTCAGGCATAGTCTCAGTGACTAAGTTACCCACTCTGGGCTCAAACTTTGCAGGCTTCTTGCCTCAGCATCCCAAAGTGCTGGGATTACAGGCTTATGCCATTTAAAAAAAATCTCCAAGTGTTCATCATTCCTATACACAGTTTGCCAAGTCCTGGGCTAGACATTCAACATATGTTAACTCATTTAAGCTTTATTTTCTCATCCTTCCTGTTTCTCTTTGGGATAGGAATTTAACAGTGGGAAGCAGAAGGATCAAGAGGTCCCAGACAGAAAGATTACTGTGTGTTTATGCTTGAATAGAAAATGTGACATAAATATGTAAAGGATCACACTGTGTTCTCTGTCCTTCCTAGTTCTCAGAGTTAGAAAGTAACAAACTATCCTTGTTACCCATGTAAAACCCCAGGTTCCTGCACTCCAAATCTCCTGCATATCATTAAGAGAAACTTAAAGGTGATGGCAAATGCTGGTAATCTCCGAACTCGGGAGGCTGAGGCAAAAGAATTGCTGAGGCCTTACATTGCAAGTTTAAGGCCAGCCTGGGCTACATAAGGAGACCCAAGCTCAAAAAAAAAAAAAAAAAAAAAAAAAAAAAAAGAGGGAGGCGGATGATCAAAGCAGGTGGGCACCTGAGGGCTTTAGAGGCAGTGAGACCTCTAAGAGATCACAGTGCTAAGCAAAGACTGGGTAACATTTAGATCCATGCTAAGATTTTCAGAGTAGGAACAACAGATACCTCACCTCCATGAAAGTCATTCACACTGTCCCTCTTACCAGAAATGTCTTCTGTAGGCATGGATAGATTGGCATCTGAATCCTCAGGTTCAATAGTGAGTAACTCTCCAGCTGTGGTCTCCACCAACTCTGTAATTATTGCCTGTGCAACCGTGGTTCCAGAGGGCTCTCCAGTTGACACTTCTGGCCATGTTGTGCCAACAGCTTCTGTGGTTGACATCTCTGCAAGCGTGGTGCCTATGACCTCTGAGGTTGGTGCCTGCTCAGGTGTAGTACCTGTGCCCTCTGTGGTTGCAACCTGCACAGGGGCAGTATTTATGACCTCTGTGGTTGGTACCTGCAGAGTTATGGTTCCAGAAGGCTCTGGAGTTGGCATTAGATCAGGTGTAGTACCCACAACTTCTGCAGTGGGCATTTGCCCAGCTGTAGTGCCAGAGTCCTCTGTAGTCGGCATGTTCCCCTCTGTGGTGCCTGGGACTGGGGAAGAGCCACAGGTGGTGAGACGAATTGCAGCCTGCACCACCACCTGAGCTGTAACTGAGCCAGACTCCAAGTAAGTGTGAGGGACCACAAGTGCCCGAGAGATCAGTGTCCCAGTACCATCTCCAAAGTCCCAGGTGTAGGAGAGGTCAGCCCCAGCCAAATAGCCACTGGGGTCATGAAGCTGAAGAGCAAAGGTCAGAGGCTGATTTCTCAGGAAGTGCTTGTTCCCTTCATCCAAGGCCTGCAGCTGGGACACACTCACAGAGAAAGGCACCTGGTCTGGGGTCAGAGCCAAAAAAAGGTGAGACCTAGGCCCACAGCTTTTCCTGTGACACCCACAGCCTCCAGCCCCAAGCTGAATGCACTGGCTCTATCCTACATTCCTCTGCCAGGGTCTGATATTTTGGTCTTGCATTTCAAAGATGACACACTGTTCCCTTTCCCCTTTCCTGTCCGGCCTAGCTTCCCACTCCCTCCTGCTTTGCGACTGGCCTTACCCCTCCATGAACCCTTACCTGTAATGGTGAAGGCAGAGCTGGACTGAGCAAGGGGCACGTAGCTCTGGGCCCCCCGGCGGTGGTAGACAGTCACTTCCATGATATGTGTGCCCAGCACTGCCTGTCCTGTCCCAATGCTCAGCCCTGACACTGGGCCCCCGAGAACTTGCCAGTATTGACCTGAAGTTAATGGAAAGAAAAGCAGGAAGGGGAAAGCTTCTGGTCAAATGGGACTAAGGGGCAGGATTTGAGAATGAATACCAGAGAAGAAAGATCAGGAAGTAGTAAAGATGATTATTTCAGAGGCTCTTTGGACACCTACGACATGAGGTTGGGGGAGGTGGTTCCCGTAGGATGGACTATAATTGGGGAAGGACTTCTAGAAGGACTTGTGATGATTTGCTTGGGCTACTATTATTACATTAGCTAGTAGTAGTAGTAATATGTATGAGGACCTCTATCTGATCCCCAGCACCCTTGTACTACTCCCAAAAAATCAGAATTGAAGGGGAATAGGTGCTACGAAAGAGGAAGAAGCCAAAGGGAAAATAAAAAGGGACATCACATAAGTTACACGGTGAGACTGTAAAGAAAGATGACCAGATAGGAAGAAGTAGACAGAAGTGTGTAGATGACAGGCCAGAGAAGGGAATCCCTCACCCCAGGTCTTCCAGACATAAACAAAGCATCTTCTTTGAGACCTAGAACCAGATGGGCAGGGTTCACCATCAGGAAAAATACAAGCATCATCAGGTTCCTCGGGATACACTGGTTGTTCTCCCCACACATGGCTCCCTGAAAGACAGATACAGTCACCCTGAAACCCTGGCACTCCATTTGTGTGTGTGTGTGTGTGTGTGTGTGTGTGTGTGTGTGTTACTGTGGGTTGAACCTAGGGCCTACTGTGAATTGAGTTATGTTTTGAGATGGGGGTGAGGAGTGTCTCACTAAATTGCTAATTTGCCCAGGTACTGGTCAAACTTGCAATCTTCCCACCTTAGCATCCTAGAGTGAATGCTGGTATTACAGGCATACACCACCATACCCAGCTTCTTTCCTTTTTTATAAGGCCTTCTTACTAAACTGCCCAGGCTGGCCAGGAATTTACAATCTTCCTGCCTCAGCCATCAGGACAGCTAGGATTGTAGGAGTATGCCACCACGCCTAGCTTCTGGCATTCTTTTGTATACATCAAAATTCCTAAAGTAGTTCCTAAGGAATTAGAAAGGGACTCTGGGAATGCTCCCTAGCTAGAAAGTACAAATCTGCTACTTGGGGATAGTAGCTGGAGGTGGGGATATATGGAAACTACAATATAAGATTCATATGTATAGATTTATATAATAAGAAAGAAACTAGAAGACCATATATTAGAATGTCTGTAGTGATTTCCCCTAACTAGTGAGATAAAAATAATAGCTCCAGTTAACAGAATAACCTATGCTGAACACTACATATTAGTATATTTTCATCCTTACAACAACTTTTCAAGGAAGGTACCGTCCCCATTTCACACAAAACAATGAATTACAAGTCTAATCCAAGCGTGGTGATACATGCCTGTAATCCCATCACTCAAGAGCCTGAGGCAAAAAAAAAAAAAAAACACTGAGCCCTAGGAAGAGAAGCACTTACCATTGATGATGGTGTTGTTGGTCCAAACAACCTGCCCATTTGGCAATACCTTTTGGCTTTCAGGGAAATGCAGGACAATGGAGAAGGAAGCATTTGCACCAAGAAGCGTAGGCCCATCATTAGTGACTTTTGGTGTGATCTGGCCGCCTGGAAAGGAAAGCTGCATTAACTGGGACCCCTTGGCTTTCCCTTCCGATAGATCTTTTCCTTCCTGTCTTCCCAAGCATATGGCCTTCAACCCAATTCCTGCTCTCCTCCCCAGTCCATCTCCACATGCCCTCCCCCAGAACTTGCGGGTTCCTACCTCTCCAGCAGTCAGGCCCCTGGATTCCTGTCCATTCTGGATACAGCTGCTTGTTCCATGTCTTAGTTTGGAGCTGCCTTGAGACACCAAGCCAGTTCTGGTCTCTAAATCCTAAAGGAATGTTCCATGAGGGTCTTAGGATCCTCCCTTAGTCCCTTCTTAAGAGCACATGTTCTATATGGCCTCCTTCATTCTCTTATTCAAAGTGTGTTCTAACTAACTGAATACTCACTACATATTGGGCACTATTCTAGGCACAAAGAATTTAACGAATGTATAAACTATGATTCTGAAAGGATTCAAAGTGAAGTATGAGGAATGACCATGTAGCTGAGCAGGGTGATGCACACCTGTAATCCCAGCATTCTGGGAGGCTAAGGCAGGAAAATCAAAAACTCTAGCCCAGGCTGGACAACGTAGTAGATTCCTGTCACAAATAAGTAGGGCTAGGGATATAGCCTAGGCCCTGGATTTAATCTTTGATATAAATTTTAAAATGAGCATCTACAAAATTACTATAATTCAAAACACTTCTGAACATGTGCCATAATAAACCAGGTATGGTATATAAATCTGTAATCCTAGCACTCAGGAGGCTGAGGCAGGAGGATCACCATGAGTTTGAGGCTAGTCTGGGCTACATAGTGAGTTTAAGTCCAGCCTGTGTTACAAAGTAAGACCCTATCTCAAAACAACAATGACAACAAAGTAACATAATGTACATATACATAGTATAACAAATGTCAGAGTAAACTAGTTCCTTTCACTGTAGCAGATTGTAGGAGACTTCAATGAGGGGTCACCATAGTCCTAAAGTGCTTTGTGGGTTTTTTTTTTTTTTTTTTTTTGAGAGGGGGTGCTGATCTTAATTAATATGAGCAGATGCATGGAGGCACAGAAGCACATGGCATGTTAGGAGACCCTAGCATTATGCTCAATGCACACTGAAATAAGAAATGAGGCTGAGAAGATGAATTGAAGGGTTTTGTTTCATGAGGCAGAATCTCACTCCATTGTCTGCACTAGCTTTGAACTCACTATGTAGGCCAGACTGGTTTCGAACTCAAAATCCTTCTGCTTTAGCCTCCCAAGAGCTGGGATTATAGGCATGAGACTACAGATCTTTTGTTTTAAATTGATATATAATCAAACACCATAAAATTCACCCTTCAGAAGCTTTTGAGCATGATCATATTTGTATTTTAGAGATAACACTATGGCAACAGTGGAGAGGATGGATTAGGAGCAGGCAGTTTGGGAGTAGGGAAAGAGCAAACAAAATTATTGTAATTGAGCTGGCCATGTTGGCACATGTATGTAATTCTAGCATTTGGGAGGCTGAGGCAAGAGGATCAAGAGCTGAAAGCCAGAAGCTAGGCATGGTGGCTCATATCTATAATCTCAGTACTTGGGAAGTTAAGGCAGGGGGACTGCCTTGAATTCAAGGCTAGCTTGGACTGCAGTGAGTTTAAGGCCAGTCTGAACTAGGTAATGAAACCCTCTGTCAAAAAACAAAAACAAAGGGCCGGAGATTTAGCTCAGTGGCATAAGTGCCTACCTTGCAAGCATGCAGTCATGAGTTTGATCCCCAGTACCAAAAAATAAAATAAAATAAATATTCCAAAAAATAACCTTGGGGCTGGGGATTTAGCTCAGCGGCATAAGTGCCTGCCTTGCAAGCAGGGAGTCGTGAGTTCAATCCCCAGTACTGAGAAAAAGGAAAAAGACAAAAAAAAAAAAAAAAAAAAAAAAAAATAGCCTTGACTATATCACAAGATCCTGTATTAAAAAAGAAAGAAAAATCAGGCATGATGGCACATGTTCTCAGGAGGTTGAGGCAAGACAATTACAGTATGAATTCAAGGCCAACCTGCACTACATAGTGTGTCCATGAACAACCTGAATTACATATTGAGACTCTTTTGTCTCAAGAAAACAAAATTCATACATGTAGTAGCTGAGTAGGAAAGAAGTCTGAGAGATAGACCTCTGTACGCCTTCATCCAGATTCAACAAACTGTTAGTATTTGGCCATATTTGCTTTATTGGGATTGTTTACTTTTGGTTATGACTTCTCTTGCTCTAGTGACCCCAGCCCCAAGGCTATTTTTTGGAATATTTAAAAGCAAATATCAGAATCTTGTTAACTCTGCAAATTCAGTTTATGTATTTGTTAAAAATACAAATACTTTCTTGCATAAATTTAATGTCATTTATAATTATCAAACCCAGTTCATATAAAAATTTATTAGCATCAAGAAAAAAATGGTTTTTCTTTTTTTCTTATGCTGAGAACTAAACCCATGACCTTGCACATGCTAAACATGTACTCTACTGCTGAGTCAACCTCTAGTCTTTTCCTATAGTTTGAAAAATCAGATATAAAATGAAAGGCCAGGGCTGGGGATTCAGCTCAGTGCCAAGCCCTAGATTCAATCCCTGGTCCGAAGAAAGAGAAAGAAAGAAAGAAAGAAAGAAAGACAGACAGATGGGGCCAGGGATTTGGCTCAGTGGCATAAGTGCCTTCCTGACAAGCTTGAGGTTGTGAGTTTGATCCCCAGTACCAAAAAAGAAAGAAAAAGAAAGAAAAGAGCAATATTTTAAGAGCCTCAGGTAGATATATGTAAACAGAAAGTTTTCAAAAAACATTAAGGAACGTAATAAAAGTCTTGAAACTGCAGCATGATGTCAGGTGAAGAACTTCCTAGGGGCCTGTGAGGAGGAAGGAAGGCAAGCTGACATATAATGTCTACATTTCAGCATAGTAAAAATGATCCTCACCTCTCTTTTTCTCCTTTTCTTTTCTTCCTCTCTTTTTTTTAAACACAGGGTCTCACTATATGTAGACCAGATTGGTCTTGAATTCATGATCCTCCTGCCTCAATCTCTTGAGTGCCGGGATTACAGGCATGCACCTTCATGCCTGGCTCCTCACTTCATTTCTAATGCACTCTGGAAATTTAGGAGATTCCACTACGAGGTGGTTTAGAATTCTTTCATTGAGCATCACATCACTAGTGCAAGAGAAGTCATAAGATGCTCCATTCTTTTCCGACTTCCAAACCTCCCTCCTCAGGGCAGCATGGGACATTCCAGACCCTGGCCACCACTACCTCCCTCCATCCTGCCCCACTCCTGTCACGAGGCCCCAATCCCCCAGAGCCCTTTCATGTGATGCTCAGCTGAGACCCCCTGCCTGTCTCTTTCAGCCCCAGAACAATATGTCCAGGCGTACCCATACCCATTCCAAAGGGGAAATGTAGTGCCTCCTTAGCCTTCTTATCCAACACCACCTTCTCTTACTCTCCACTCTTTTAAGTCCCTTTCTTCATGTACCTGGGACATTACCTGAAAGAATCTCTCACTCGTTTCACCCTTTTGGCGCTCCTGCTCATTCTTTTGGGCTCACTGCTCAGAGGATCTCAGATTACTGCCACAAAGACCCACTATCCTTCTGCCCTTCCAAACTGACAGGATCATTTTCAGGTTTGATCCCAAATTTCCACGTAGGGAGGGAAGTCAGGTGCCCATATACTCCCTAAATCAAGTAGGTGGAAGAAGTCTGAAGTATTGCTAGTATCTTCTGTTATAAGGTGGGAAACCAGAGCAAGTGTTCAATCCCCGATTTGCAGGAATTCCGACTCCCCTCACACACTCACCTTCTGTGACCCCCACAACCAACAAAGCACTCAGCACAGGCAAGTAGGGAAGGCACCTTCCTGGCAACATATTCATCCTGTTCTTTCTTCCTGCAACCAAAGGTGCTAGGAGGCTGGAATAAGCCCCTATATAAGAATGGGGTGCTCATTTGCATAGTCCTTCCTCTTCTCCTTTTAGGGGTGGCCTGGGAGGGGCGGAAAGACCTAAGAGAGACAGGTCTAACAAGAGATCTAATTCCCTGGACCTTCCTGCTCTATCCCACTATGCAAGCCCTATTTATGGCTTCACTGGGTCACACTCATCTTACCACACTCCATCACTAGAATTGGCCGACAGGTAGCTGTGTAACACATACCAGACACACAGAATTCATCATGGAAGAGTGCATCAAGCAGCTGAATCAAACCAGGGACCTCTCAAAAAGACAGAAATAGAACCTTCCATTTAAAAGCAGAGGGGGACAGTACCCGAGTAGGCGGAGAAGTTGAGGCACCCTTTCCTCTGAGGCCCAGGAAGTCTTAGGGATGAGAGTCCCAGCTATTTTTCAAAGGAGGGTCCCTGGTCAGATGGAAATTAATCTTAGGTCGATACACATTTTCCCAGGGGTGGTGAAAATAGTTTGTGACCTGGGAATCTCTACACACCAGAGACAGGCAGAAAATTCAAACCCATATCAAGAACTTGGGAAAAGGTCCTCAGCCGCCCCAGGGCGGAAGAAACTTGTTCTGCCTCTCAGAAACAAACTTGCAGGGAGCAGGATCATTTGCCGCGAGAACCGCGGATAGCTCCGCCTTATGTGACGTTGACCAATCAGAAGATCCAAGGGCGGAGTCGTGGAAACGCGGGAAGGAGGGGCGGGGCGTCTGGTGGCGGTAGGGAATTGGGCGGGGGGGCGGCAACATTGTTTTAAGTTGGACAAATTGACAAGGGGCAGACATACACTGCGTTCCATTTTGACTCGGGGCCACCGTGTTGGGCTCCGTTTTCCCCCTCTTTGGCTCCCTCGGCTTGTTTTCTGCAGGGTTCCCAGGCCCCCGCTCCAGGGCCCGGCTGACCCGACTCGCTAGCGCTTCATGGAGAACTTCCAAAAGGTGGAAAAGATCGGAGAGGGCACGTACGGAGTTGTGTACAAAGCCAAAAACAAGTTGACGGGCGAGGTGGTGGCGCTTAAGAAAATCCGCCTGGACACGTGAGTGGCTTCTGTAGCCAGGACTCCTAACTAGGAAGCCCCTAGATTGTTCCCCCACCCCCAACAGGCGGGTAGCCGTCCAGGGACCGGAAAGTGGCGAGGAGTGGCTTCTTTTCAAAGGGTGGAGGTAGTGGGTTTCCCTGGAGCGAGTGCAGGCTATGTGAGGATCCATGGAAAACTTCCTTGCCATACTGAACCCGGAGGTGTCCCCAAATGCGCAAGCAGAGAGACTCTGGAAGAGAAATGAGGCCTCCAGGATGAGAGGCAGAACTCTCCAAGGAATGGGGGTGTGCAGGGAACAGTGAAAGAGCCTTTCTGAACGAAGAACCGACCGCTTTACCCAACCCCACCCTCCCAGAATTCTCTCCCTCTTCCAAGAGTGGCAGTTGAACCTCACTGGCCCTCCGAGGAGGCCAGGTGCTAGTCTCACATTTTCCCCCCATTATCTTCTCTCTGCTTCACCTTGGCCGGGAGGCCTTACTTATCTACCTCAGGAAAGAGAAAATGTTGACCCTAAGGTGTCCCAGAAGCCAGGTCCTAGCTATTCAGGAATCCTCTCCTCTGACTTTGCAAGGGGACTTGGTGGGGGTATCGACCAATCAATATCAAAAGGGGTATTTATAACCCTGTTCCCATCTCTGCTTTCCCAACCTCTCCAAGTGAGACTGAAGGTGTTCCCAGTACTGCCATTCGAGAGATCTCTCTGCTTAAGGAGCTTAACCACCCAAACATTGTCAAGTAAGTAGTGTCTGGGAGGCATTCTGGTAGAATGGGTTTCATCTGTCGAGTCTGGGCATTTCTCTCCCTTACCTACATTTCCTGGACCACCTCTTCGTAGGCTGCTGGATGTCATCCACACAGAAAATAAACTCTACCTGGTTTTTGAATTTCTGCACCAAGATCTCAAGAAGTTTATGGATGCCTCTGCTCTCACTGGTGTTCCTCTTCCCCTCATCAAGGTGACACATCTCATCAACTCCACCTCACCATGCATGTTCTCAGGGGGACTGCAGGTGGCCAGTTCACACTGGGTGATAATTTTGTTATTTTTGGCTGCCTTCCCTGTCAGCACCCACCTTTTCTTTTGCATCTGTTTCCCTACTCATTATATACTTTAGCCATAGGGGGCTGAAGAAGCAAAGTTAAAATTCCAGTGAATCAACCTAGCTGCCTCTGGTGGGAGGTCAGATGACCTCAGATAAATGGGATTTGAGGGCAGTTGGTAGATTCCTCCAAAAATGCCCTTTTACCTGTTCAGCGGGAAAAACAGTCAGTGAGTCTCTGCTGTTAGGGATGTATTCTTTGTATTTTTTTTTTTTTTGTCTTTTTCGTTTTTATCGGTACCAGGGGTCGAACTCACGACTGGCTGCTTGCAAGGCAGGCACTTATGCTGCTGAGCTAAATCCCCAGCCCTAGGGATGTATCCTTCATTCCTGGTGCTGCTCAATTTTTTAACAAATATTTGTTCAAAGCACATTTACTGAACTACTTCAAGAACAGGATAAAGAAAAAGTTTTAAACTGAATCAGACCTGATTCTTATCCTCACTAGGCTGAAAGTCCAATGGGAAAAAGTTTTTAAATGTATAGTTATAATCTAACATATAAAGGGTTTAGAGTTTAGCTGGGAAAGAGCAAACCCTAATCCGATCATTGTGATGGAGAAATACAATCTCCCTTTCTCCTTTGTCAGAACTATCTGTTTCAGCTACTCCAGGGACTAGCATTTTGCCATTCTCATCGGGTCCTCCACCGAGACCTTAAACCGCAGAATCTGCTTATCAATGCGGATGGAGCAATCAAGCTAGCAGACTTCGGGCTAGCCAGAGCCTTTGGAGTCCCGGTTCGCACTTACACGCATGAGGTATGTCCAGCTATGCTGTTCTTTGCTGAGTATCCTGGGAAGTGTTAACAAGGGCATTTTAGAAAGTTGCTAAAACTATCTGACCAACAGTTCGGTAAATAAGGAATTTCTGACATCCTAAGGGTTTTAAGGCATATGCAGAATTCATGCTGTTAAGCTAACTGGGTTTAGATACCAAACCAGGACAGCTGAATGGTACACTATTAAAATTATGACCATTTGTACAGGGCTTGGCGATGTACATCTGTAATCCCAGGACTCAGGGGACTGAGGCAGCAGGATCACCTCAAGTTTGAGGCCAGCCTGGATTATGTAGTGAGTTCAAAGCCAGTATGAGCTACAGAGTGAGACCTTGTCTCAAAAAACAAAAAATTGTGACCATTTAACTGAACATAGTGGTACAGGTCTATCATACCAGCACTCAGAGGTTTAAACAGGAGGATGGCAGGTTCACAGCCAACCTGGACAACACAGCAAGATCCTGATTCAGAAAAAAAGAAAAGAAAAGAAAATTCTGACCATTTGTTTTACATTTTCCAGGAAGGTCCCAAATTGGGGGTTCAGAAAATATGGGCCCTACACCCATAGACTAGGCTAATTCTGGGGCAAGAGAGTTGTGTAATTATTTTTCTTAGGGGAAATCAGAGGAAGGAAAGGAAACTGATTAAGGGGCTTGAGAGTTAGTTTTTTGAGGAGCTGAGATATAGAAATGTCTGGGTCTTTAAACCTTTCCACTTCCTACACTTGTTCTTTAGGTGGTGACCCTATGGTACCGAGCCCCTGAAATCCTTCTGGGTTGCAAATACTACTCTACAGCTGTGGACATCTGGAGCCTGGGCTGTATCTTTGCTGAGATGGTATGGAAGCTTGTCCAAGTTCTACCCAGCCCATCCCTCCCCATATCCAAGAACAACAGAATCATTTCTTGGCCCAGCACCACAGCCCATCTTTTTCTCAGGGTTCTCTAAAGTGGTACCAAGAGGGGATGGTAATAGGACTCTTACCGCTGAACATCAATCATAATGTTAGAATGTCCTCAAATAGCATAGACTCAATCTCTAGTATGCATCTCTTATCTCTGAAATGAGTGAGATCATTCCTATTGTCAGTCAGCTATTTCAATTTTACTGTGCATGTATTTGGAAGACTTGAGTTCCATTTGGTGTCTCCTTCATTTGACCTGTAGGCTACCAGGAATGTAGTAAAGCCAACTGGGTTCACTTATCCACACCCTTTATTTAAACTGCAGGGTTAGATCACGTTTCCCCTCAACCTCTGGCTTTTCAGATTTTAGGATCCTTGAGGCCTTGCCTTATGTAAGAGTTCCCATCCTCTTTAATATAACAATGGAGTAGACCAAGGCTTCACATCAGGTTATCAATATGTTTAGTGATCCTTTATTTGGATTGTAACTGGGGGCTTAGAGGCAATTAATAAATCTGTCTATATCTATAAATAATGTGCATTTATCCCCCAATACATTACTTTCCAATTGCCCATATTACTCTCTCAATTTATCAACAAATATTTGTTAAGTACCTAGTGTGTACCCAGCACCATGCTAAGTGCTGTGGGGAACACAGAAGAAATGGAAGACACAGTCTCTGCCCGCTGTGCTCCTATCTAGAAGTGGCTGCATCACAAGGAGGGGGGATGACCGCAGTGTCTACCCCACACCCCGTGAGTGGCTTGGGATCCCTTTGCTGCGTGTCAGTGGCACCCCAAACATTCACCCCCTCCCAGCCCCACCCAGCCTTGGGGATCTGCAGAACCATCATGGGGGAAGGAAGGAGGGGATGAGGAAAGAGATGAAGGGACTTCATTGTCTCAGGTTTTGTGTGACTGACCCTATGAAAGGCCCCAGGGAGGGAGTCATGGGGCCCTGCTGACCTTCCACTGCCTGTGGGAACTTCCTTTGTTCTGGAAACATCTTTGATTTACGTCAGTGTGGGTCTTGCCTTTTCCTCTTTCCCTATTTTCAGGTGACCCGTCGTGCCCTGTTCCCTGGAGATTCTGAGATTGACCAACTCTTCCGGATCTTTCGGACTCTAGGGACCCCAGATGAGGTAGTTTGGCCAGGAGTTACTTCTATGCCTGATTATAAGCCAAGTTTCCCCAAATGGGCTCGGCAGGATTTTAGCAAAGTTGTGCCTCCCTTGGATGAAGATGGACGGAGCTTGTTATCGGTAAGGGTGGGGAGTGGGCATCTGTTAGTGTCCATTCATTCTCCCAGGGAAGGGCTTTTCCAGGACAAAAGAAACCTAAGACCTTGAACTCTGGGTCCCAGCTACCTTTCCTCAGTCCATGGTTTTTTCCCAGTTAGCACTCTGGTTCAGATGTGGGAGGAGGGAAATGAAAACTGGGTAGAGTTCTGTTTTCCTGATTTTTGAGAATGCTTGTGGCCCATTTAATTCATCTTTGTGTAACTAATAATATCATACATCTCTTCCTCTAGCAAATGCTGCACTACGACCCCAATAAGCGAATTTCGGCAAAAGCAGCTCTGGCTCACCCATTCTTCCAGGATGTGACCAAAACAGTACCCCACCTTCGGCTGTGATGTCTTTTCCCAGCCTTCACCTTCAGCCTCATCCTCTCCTCCACTGTGGTTTGACCTGACTCAGAGCTGGGTGATTTGGAGCAGGCAGGCTCTCTGATCATTTCTGCTTGCCTCAACACTTGCCTTCCCTTTTTGTCCAGCCAGCTGTGGGTATCCAGGAGTGGAGAGGAGGAACAGGTCAAAATGAAAACTTCAGTATTACAGGCACTTAATTTAGCTTCGACACCTCCCTGTCCTTTACTGAGGGGTAGAATTCAAAACAAAATTTACCCCTCCTCTAATCCCATTTGTCATCCTAATCTCTGAATGCCCTATAATTATTTCCTGTGTTCAGGATGAGAGGGACCCCAAGTCTTCTGTTTTTTGTAAAGACCAATTTACAGTAGGGGGCTAAACTAGAACTTTAGGGAAACAAGCCAAAAATGAAGGGGCAGGATGTCCTATTTTAAAGAATAAGTTTAAAAATACATCCAGTCAGCCAAATTTTTAGTGTTTCATCTCACCTAAAAGGCTAGAAGATTCAAGATGCAACCCCAGGGAAGAAGCCCAAGAGATGATTGTCCCAGTGCCTGTGTCCCTGCTTTGGGCAAACTGGAGTCTAAGACGCCTAAGGGATAGGGGTTGTGCTTAGTTTGGATTTGTGCTTCACCATGGCCTTATGAAGCAGGTGAGAGATGTTCAAATTTTTCTCTTTTAGGATTTTTAATTCTTGAGTTGCCTCCCATCTTCCTTTGAAAGCCATCTCTCACCCTAGGGGAGCAGAAGCTGAAGTTTAGACATTATTTTGAGAATGCTGACACTTTATAGGGCTGTGACATAGTAGGGGCATTGGGAAAAAAATTATTTCTTTGAAAGAAGGATGAACAATTATATTTATATATCAGGTTATAGTCTTTTTTTTTTTTTGTCGAGTGGCTGGATTTATTGTGCACCTTGGGGTTTTGTCATTCAAATGTTTTTTTTTAAGTATTTTTCTTTTTATAATTTTTTTTGTCTTTTCCCACCTCTTGACCTTGAGTACTTTCTATTAACATTATTTGTAATTTAGTTTGTAATTCATTAAAAAAATCTGTTCTTAGTTTTATAGTTCATCTGTTTCCTTTTTTTACTGAAAAATGATGTGGGAGAAAATCTAAATGTATGGTGCTCATTGACTGCAGACCCCTCTTAATCTCTGTGCAGGGCTCCCCTCCCATTCCATTTTGGCCTCTGATACAGCTGCATTTGGGATGCTGCTGAGAAACAACAAAGTTGCTATTACTGTCCCCATTTTATAATGGGGAGGAAATTGAATGTTCTGTATTTCCTACTTCTTTTTCCCCACAAACCAGGAAATCGTCCACCATATTGCCCTCCATTGACAAGGCTGTGCTTCCAGAATTTCTATGTTAGGAAAGGCGAGATGGTTAGAGGTGGGCTCCGGGGGAGTTCACAGTAAGCTCGCAGGTTTTCCTTTTTGTTGTGTATCAAACAGCAATTTTCTGAAGAATCTTCACATTTACATACGATTCGAAAATATCAGATGTCTATGTGAAAAGTTATAAAAGGCTAAACATCTTCAAGCTGTTACTTTTTGTAGCTGCCATTATCTCCGCTAAAAACATCTCACACTGCCTTTGGGCCAACCCCAAAGCTCCACTCCTCTGAAGCCCCACTAAAAGAAGGAAGTAACTACGAGAGGGTTACTTAGATTCTCAAGCGCTAGGTCCCTCGGAGAGATATTTCCTCTCACGCCCGCGAATTTGTCATAGAGGGCGGAGCCACTGGTGTAGGCCCCCGCCAAACCCAGGGGGAGGGGCTAAGGTCAGCGCCTCCTCGAGCCTTCTTTTCACCTCGCCTTGTCTGCCGCTCAAGTTCCGAATTTTCGCAGTACTGGTTAAAATTTCGCTTTGACCCGCCTTCATCGCTCACCTGATTAGATGTTTATGAGTCAGGAGGCGGGGTCGTAGGGTGTCGAGATATTATTAGTTAATACGTTTGTCAGTCAGTTCTGTACCACCCCGTTTCTCCTGAAACTTGCTTTTGAATGGCTCCTTGCCTTGTCCATCTCCAGGGCATTTTTCTCTCTCCCTTTATTGGTTTAGAACCCCGCCTTTTCCAGCCCTCGCTTGTACTCGTTGGTGATAGCGCCCAAAGACACCCGCCTTTCCCCAGAGGATTGGCGGATGAGTGCACACATAGCCTACCCTCGGCGGTAGGCGGGTAATTGTGCTATTGGTCGGAGCCCTAACCCTAGGGCGAGGAGGAGGAGGGGGAGGAGGAGGAGGAGGAGGGGCTGGAGGGTTTGGTTGAGCTGCAGCTGTTTGTCTGTTCGAAACAGGATTGGGCCCGACGGGGGAGACTGAGCCCCAGGTACCGAGCTGATGGAACCCACAAGGGCAGAGGCAGAGGCGCTCGGAGATGAGAGAGGCCTGCCCTGAGAGTGGAGGCGGGTCTGGGCCACGGCGAGGGATTGGAGTGGCCCGCTGGAAAGAGGAGCAGTGGGCCGGGCCCTGGCAGGCCTAATGGGGGCGCTGAGGAGGGATCTGGCGGGCTGGGAGCCTGAAGTTGGGGAGGCGGCCGGCTCCCGGTGGTGGTCTTGCCAAGGGCCGTATGCTGAAGGCCCAGAGGGCAGGGCTAGGCCTCGGTGCCCATTAGCAGCCCCGAGAGGGAGGAGCTGGGAAAGGGACAAGGCCCGCTTGCGGGAGGTGAGGAGGGGTCAGCCCGACGCCTGGGCTCGAGAGGCTGAGTCGCTCCAGAGGTGTCTGTTCGGAAGGGCCTTGGCCGGGTTCTTAGCTAGCAGAGAGGCAGTATTTTTAGGGAGAGTGACGATTGTAAAGAGAACTGAGGATATCCTGGTGTTGGGTAGAGATGGATTTGGGTTTAGTGAGTGACTGAGGCCAGGAAAGAAAGCATTACTGGTTTAAAGACTAAGGGAGTTAAAGGAATGGAAGCAGGGCCTACTATAAGTTACGAGAGCTCTTGGGGATGCTAAAGGGTGGGCTGGAGACTGGGTCTTGGGAGGATCCACTCTTTTGTTCGTTTTGTGTCTAAGTGTGGTAATTTGAAGTTTTTTGGTACTGCCGGGGTAAGGAATGAAGACAAAAGTAGATTTATTTTTTTCATGACTGTTCGCTGTTCCAAATTTGGCCCCTACAATTTTTCTTGGCTTTCGAGCGGGTCTAGACTGTGGTCTGTTTCTTAGTGTCTCATGTCCTGAGTAAGATCTAAGAAGTTAAATTGGGAGGGATACTTTGTCTGCTGCTTTCCCACCTTAATAATGTGGTCTACAGTGAATGCTAACTATATCGTTTGCCTAGTAGTAGGGAATAATTTCATCTTCTTCATGGAGTGGGGCTTAGAGCTCTTCAGGCATCTGTGTATCTTCTGACCATGGTTGGTGAAACTTTTCTGAGACCTAGACCTGGGTATGTCCCTGCCAGGTATTGGGGTTAACCAGGCTTGGATCTGTGAAGTGATATATCACAGAGGAAGGGGAAAGGATTTGGGAAAGAGTAAGAAATTCCTTGCAGAAGGCTGGCCTAGCCTCACCCGTGTTCTTTGTCAGTTACCACAGGAGTCCAGGTGTCTGTGTGATTAGATTGGACCAGATGCAAAAGTATTTGAGGAAGAGGGACATATACCAAAAAAGGATGGATTACTAAGGTAGAGATGTGGAGTCCCCTCCACACCATGTATTTTTAATGGCCTGCTGACTTCTGAGTTTCCCATAGATTGAAGCCTATTGGATTTTCCCATAGGGTTTTTCCTCCTCTTTTCCTTCTACACCATAATAAAATACACCAGTGTATTTTATTATTTACATTTCTTATTTACAAAAGTGATATACACGTATTTTAAAATATATAAGTGGTATCAAAGTATAAATCCTCCCACATCATACCTCATTACATTTCATTTAAGAGAAGAGAGAAGAGACAACAGAGCAGACTCATCTTTGTCTTGGGGAATGTAACACCAAAGACCTGCTTTAATGTTCTCACCAAATTCTGACCTCATTCTTTCCATATTTTTCCTTCTTTGGATGATACTTTGTTATTTATTGTGTTCTTTTCACGTTCAGTTTTATCTTCTATCAAATTCAGACAAGTGGAGTCTGTATTCTGGGTTATCACTTGCCTTCTTCAACACACACACAGACCAGTTATGCAATAAGTACTATAGAAAATACCCAAATTTTAAAAAGGAAATGCCCAAATAGGTGGACAAAACTTTATGAGCAGGAAAGAAACAGATGAATTATTTTGTTTGGACAGTTATTGGTATCTTTTTGGAAGGAATTTGATACCTCCATCTTCTGGTTGATGGTGCCTGCATATTCACAATATTTGACTGTGATGGTGTGTCAAAAGAAGGCTCTTGTTTCTCTGGATTTGAAATTGGTTTTCCTCTAAATCTCAGAGTACAACTGCAGCATTTCATACTACTACTTGATTAAATTTGACTTGCTGACTTTAGAAGCCTTCTAATATGCTTAGCATCTGTATCATGCCTAGTAGAAACCTTAATTGTTGCCCCTTCCTCAGAGAACTTTTCTCACTGGCAAAGCCAATCTTGGAGGAGTGTGTATGTGTGTTATGTGTAGGTACATTAACCCATTCTAGTCATTCTAAACTACGATCATGCCCTGTTCTTTTCTTCTGTATATCCCTTTGTGTTTTTTCTGACTTGCTCTTAAAGCTTACCTTCAGGGAATGGTGTGTAGTTTAGTGATAGAGTTCATGCCTAGTGTTGTGGACCCTAGATTCAATTCCCAACGTCTAAAAGGATCTGAAGTTATTCCAGTTTAAGATGTAAATAACATAGTTCTTAAAATATTGATTGTTCCAACTGCTTTTGCATTTTAAGAAAGAGCTAATGTGGTATTACTGATACAGAATTTCAAACATAGACCCAGAGTTGCAAAAATATATTTTGCGGGGGGGGGGGGGCGCGGCGGCTACGGAGGGGAGGTTTCTTCCATTGTCTTCGAAGTCATAGCTTGTATCTTCTCTTACTTTGCCCAAGAGCCAAAAATTGCTCTTCTCTAGTTTGCTCATTTGTGTGCATTTGTTGATATGAATTTGACTTCTGAGAAGGAGGCATAGGGTAATAGAAGCAAGTGTATAACCCACTCCTTAATTCTAAAGCATTTCAGATTGGAAAATAACCAGAGCATAAGACAGTGAAATTAAAATAAGGAAATGCACCAGAGAAGGAACCCCATAAAACCCTATACATTATACTCTTAACTTCCTGAGTGTTTTAGGAAAGATTTAGCCATTGATTGAATAATAACTGAATTGAATAAGGAGCAACCCAAATAAACAATGTGTGCAGATTTCTGGGCCAGGCTGTAGTTTTGGTTTAGGGACAATAAGTACCTTTTCAAAGTATCTCCTGCCTCTATGGTGGCATGTGGTTTTTTGTTTTAATTTTCTTCTCATTTAAGAATTAGTACATAATGATTCAAAGCTTGTTAAGTACTTGATACAAACTGAAAATTCTGAGAACTTTGTTTTTAGCCAGTTATGTCTGTGTTAGGGTGGAAGGTCCACAAATTGGGTGTGATTAGGCCATCTGAGGCATAATAACGGGTGACAGGAAAAGCAGTTAGCCCATATAAGTTACAACAGTGCTGTGTGGGTTGCGTCCCAAGGAGGCCTTTAAGGAAGACCACAAGGGACCTAGGGAAAGAATTGGTTCTCTGAAGGCTATTACAAACATTCCCAAATTGATCTGAGTAAGATCTGTCCAGATGCCACAAGGCACAAGGAGTTGACTGGGGGAGGGAAGCAGGATTACTTTGGCCCTAGTGAATTTAGGGAGTGTTTAATGGGCACCTGCTAGGGACCAGGCATTGTGTCCTGCCCTGAAGATTTGTGATGACATCAAAAATAGTCCCATGGGGGCTGGAGATTTAGCTCAGCGGCATAAGCGCCTGCCTTGCAGTCGTGAGTTCGATCCCTGGTACCGATAAAAACGAAAAAAAGACAAAAAAGAAAAAAAATAGTCCCACTTTTTGAAAAATTTTAAGTTCAGCACAACACATGGACACTGTTAAGTCATGTTTTTTAAGGCTGATAGAAATAGTCTTAACTGGGCATGATGGCACAAGCCTGTCATCCTAGCACTTTGGGAGGCTGAAGCAGGAGAATCAAAATTTCAAACCCACACCAATGAGTTAGTAAGGCCCTGACTCAAAAAATAAAGGGCCAAGGATATAACACTGTGAAGGCCCAGAGCTCAATTGCTAGTACTACAAACAAGTCTGGACACTGAGAGCAATGATGAATTCTGCTGGGGCAAGAGGGCAGTTTCACAGAGAAGGTGACATTTGTGCTTGGCTGTATGATATACATTAGGATTTTGCTAGGCAGATAAAGTAAGGAAGGGCATTTCAGTCTCTCTGTCAATAATAGGGAATTTGCACTACCATGCTGATAAGAGATAAGTTGCTTTTTGCCTCTTGGAGAAATTTAGGGGGGGGGATATTAAAGGACTCATTTAAATCAGTGAGTCATTGGATAACACTGGATCAACACAGTGAAAGAACTGGGTGCAGTTCTGACTTTCAGGATTTTGGTAATTTGGTTCTAAACAAAGTTGGAGAGAAGATAAAGTTAATTTACTGACTACTGCCCTCTGTTCCTTGGTTAGTAAATAATCTCATTAGTCCCAAGGCCCACCAAATCTTACAAAAAGTATCACTTCTTGCCAGGGGCCTATGCCTGTAATGTCAGCACTTAGGAGGCTGAGGCAGGAGGATCATGTGAGTTCCAAACCAGCCTGCGCTACCTAGTGAGACCCTGTCTCAGTACCTCACACTGAAATGCTTCTCTTCTATCTGTTGTGGCAGGGATTTGTCTTCTAGAAAGTAGTGATAAATTAATCCTTGTCATAGGATATGGGACTAAATCCCAGTTCCCAGGGAAGATTTAGATCTTTCTAATTTGTTTTTAGTTCCTAAGTAATATTTAACTAGAATAGAGGTAGAAATTCTACCCATTGTAAGCTCTTGTTTCTGTCCTGGTGCCCTCTTCAGAGTTCTGTATTGCCTGCTTCCCTGAAAAATACAGTGGTGTAAAAACAGCAGGGAATACCTGACTAAGAGTCCTGCATTTGCTCCTTAGAAGCTATGTGATAGCTGGTTATTTAACACCTGGCAAATAACTAATTTTAGCTGGGCATAGTGGTAGATGCCTTTAATCCCAGTACTCAGGAGGCTGAGGCACGAGGATTGCTGTGAGTTTGAGGCAGCCTGAGCTACAAAGTGAGTTCAAGGCCAGCCTGAACTGCATAGTGAGTCTGTCTCAAAAAAAAAAAAAAGAATAATTTTACGTGCCTCAATTTTCTTACATGTAAAATATGGA